CATTTGGAATTCTTCGGACACTGGCATGCTCACACAGAGGTCTTGCTCAGCTCCAGCTGGCAGCAAAGAAGGTGTGTGGCCTTGGTGGAGTAGTTGTAGCCTTGTTTGAGGAAGGAAGTCACTGGGAATGGGCTCTGATGTTCCAAAGCCCATGTGCAGCCCAGTACTTCTCTCTCTGCCTGCAGATCAGGGTGTAGCTCTCAGCTCTTTCCTCATCACCATGCCTGCCATCATGTTCCTGCCATGATAATAATGGACTAAGCCCCTCAAACTGTAAGGCAGCCCGATGAAATGATCTGAGAGTTGCCTTGGTCACGGGGTCTCTTCACTGCCCTAGAACAGTGATGAAGACATTTTCTTTGGGTATTTCCCATTTATTTTAGTTTTACTTTATTTTAGAACAGTTTTGCCTGTGTGTATGTATGTGTATCACATTTACGTTAGGTGATCCCGGAGGTCAGATGCCCTGGTCCTGGAGTTACTGGTCCAGATCACTGTGAGCCACTGTGTGGGTGCTAGGAGTTAAACTTGTGTCCCTCGTGAGAACAAGATGGCTCTCACGAGCCATCTCTTCAGTCTTCCCCTTACTTTTGGAGACAGGATCTCCTATGGAGTCTGGAGCTCATGGATCCAGTTAGGCTGGATGGCCAGTGAGCTCCAGGATTGCCTTTCTTGGCCCTCCTCTGGGCTGAGGTTATGGTAGGCACAACTATGTCTGGGTTTTATGTAGGTCTTGGGGAAACTAAATGCAGGACGACCTCACGCCTGTATAGTAGATGGTTTCTTTACAAATGAACTGTCTCTGCAACCCCCACAATTCTTTCTAAGGCCTATATTTTCTGTGTCTGTTTAGATCTGTTTTTGGAACATTTGTCATTTGCTTTCAGTGTCTTTGTTTATTTTTTCTTGAGATGGAATCTCTTGTAGTCCAGGCTAGCCTCTTACTATGTAGAAGAGGATGACTTTGAACTTCTGATCATTTGGCCTCTACTTCCTGAACACAAGGATTACCTGTTTATGCAGTTCTAGGGTTTAACCCAAGGCTTGGTGTGAGCCAGGCAAGCACTTCACCAACTAAGCTACATCTGAAGCTCTAACTTTACATTATACATATTATTGATAATTCTGAAGACCCTTAAAACCTTTAAAAGTGTGCTTGAGAAAAAGCCTACTCGTTTGCAGCGGAGCTACGCAGGCCGACTTTGCTTAGTTCCACTTGTATCCAACCTTTATCTTCAGGCTAAGACCTAGGGAATTCAAGGGCAACGTGAGTTTTATTTTGTAATTGAAGAACAATGGTGAAAACGTCCCCAAAGCTTGGTTTTGATTAATTCTAGCCACATGGCCTGTGTCTAGTGTCTCAACTGTTATTCATAAAATCACAGATACAAAAGACACTTTTCTCAAAAAACAGATTCCTTGGAGGACAAAAGAACAGGAGGAAAATGTATTTGATTTTTCTAAGAAGACTATTGTCCAATTAATTTTGTTTCTCAGGCCTTTGGCCATGCTAGCCAGTAATCACTTTTATGGCTGGTAAGATGACTACTAAATACTTACCATTAATTGCAGTTTCAGACTCACTTAAGACACACACACCTCAGTTATCTTGGTTTCTAAATTTGTTTCTTCTGGTTATATCCAGAGCCAGGTGCAAAGTGACCAGGTGCTTAGTCTCAGGACTGTCCTGGCTTTCCTCCCGCCTCAGCTTTCCAGCCAGGCTGCTGAATATTCTGGCGGTTAGAACGTCTATTCCCCCGGACTCGCAGATGCTGCTCTCCCCCCACTGGCTCTGCACAGAACATCATTATCTTTGCTGAGCTTCTGTCTCTATGGCAATAACAGATGGGAAGTGCTGTGGAATTATTCATGTTCACACAGGCAGTCAAGAAGCGGCGAGTAGGAGGTGGGAGAGGGGCATGACCTGGGAGCATGGAGATGGGGGCCGACAGGAGCGGGGACGGGGGCGGTGATAAGAGGTGACATTTGTTAGACATATTGTGGGATAAAAAAGGACGAAAAAAAAATCTTCAAGCACAAAAGTACTCCCAATTGGACAACCGCAAATGTGGACCCAAACATGAGTAACCCCAAAGCCGTAAAATAAACTGGGCGAGAAAAGAAAAAAAGGGGGTGGGGTGGGGAGCGCCGCGTTGCGCTGTCGCTGAAGCTTGAGTTCCCTAAGTCTGCGCAATGCTACTCGCTGCGCTATTTCAGTTCCTGATCCTGCGGTGGGGTGGAGAAAAGGGGATTTCTTGGTGTTTCGAAATATGACGGGCTAGCTTCACAGAGTTGAATATTCGAGCCATCCTGGGTACGTTGGCTAGGAAGTCCCCTCATCCACCCCCGCCAGCGGTTCGAGGTGGCAGCCGAAAGTGGTTATCTTTCCCCACCTCTTACCGTCTCTGGGAAAAAAGAAAAAATAAAGAGGAAAGAAAAACCCGAAAACCCCAACCCAAAGTGCTTTAGTGAATTAGGACGGGTCACTTCTGGAGCCTGGGAGCAGCTGGGGCAGGTCTGTCCCGGCGGGGCCGAAACCCCGGCCTCCCGGACGATGGCGGCCCGGGAGGCGAGCGGGTGAGGCCACCCCAGCGCGGCCAGGCGGGGCTGAGCGCCGGCAGCTGGCAGGGCGGCCGCGGCGGGAGGCCCCACGGGGGCGAGAGGCCCCGCGACGTCTGCGCGCCGGCCGGGGGTGGGGGGAGGATGGTGGCAGAGCTGCGGAGGGGGGGAGCGCTGGGGGAGGGTGGCGGCGCGGGAGGGGGGGGAGCGTGGGGGGAGGTGGCAACGCTGGGGGAGGGAGCCGGGGGCAGGTGGCAGCGCTGCGGGGGGGTGGTGGCAGCGCGGGGGCGTCTGCACAGCGGGCTCAGCCCCGGGGGTCGCGGCGGGGAGCCACCCGCAGGCCACCTCCGGGGCGGGGCCAGGCGGCCAGCTGCGGCCGCGGGGTGGGGGGACTGTTAGCCGAGCCTGACCCCGGGCGCGGCCAGCTGCCGGGGTCGCGCACAGTGCAGCCCGCCGCGCCCTGCCCCCTCTCCCCCTTCTCACCCCCGCCCTGCCGCGCGGCGGCTCGGCGGCCAGGGCGCCCCCAGGTCTGGCCCGTCTCCACACGGCGGCGGGCGTGGCGGGGGCGGCCCCAGACAGCCGGCTGGGCGACTCGAGGAAGGAAGGAGGGCGGCGGGGGTGGGGCTGAGGGAACATCCTGTCTGCGCCGGGCACCGCAGACAGCGCCGTGCGCCAGCCGCCCAGACGGCGCGCCGGGCCAGCAGCGCGGGGCACGCGCGGGAGGGGGGAGCGGGAGACGGGCGCACGCGCGTGCGCGGCCGAGGCACCAGGCGCGCGCCCCGGCCGGGGCTAGAGAGGCGCGCGCAGCCCGCGAGGAGCCACAATAGGCCAGACGGCGCGCGCGCCCGAGGGGCTGGCTGGCGCGGGGCCGCGCGGCGCCGCTGGCTTCGTTCCCTCCCCTCCCCCGCCCGCCGCCCTCGCTGTCCCCCGGGCGGCCGGAGACGGCGGCGGCGTCTGCGGGAAGCCGTGTCTCCGCAGTGACGTGGGCGGGCCGCGGGCCGGGTGACGTCAGAGGCTGTGTGTAGCGATGTGTGTGGGGTTCGGAGCGGCGCCGGCACAGCGAAGGCGGCGGGCGAGCGACGGCGACGGCGGGCACAGGTGCGGTCGCAGGTCGCGAGGGGACGTGAGGGGCGTGCGGCCTCTGGGGGCGCTGAGCTGGCGGCTGGGTTGATGGGGAAGCTCCAGAGCCCGTGGGGCTGCCCGGCCGCCGAGGGCCTGAGTGGGGCGTCCGGGATGCGTGGGGTCCCGGGCGGGGTCGCGGGCACAGGGCGCGCGGCGGGGGTCCCACGGGTGTACAGGCCTCGCGGATTCTGGGACCGGTCGGCTGGGAGGGGATGGCGGTGCACTTGACCCGAGCCGCCAGGACCCGGGAGACCTGGACACCGGTCATCGCCGCCATCCCCCGGCCGTCTGCGCTCGGCGGGGATGCCCCGGGCTGGCCCCAGCTCTGATCGTCCCGCGACGCGGGCTTCCGGACTTGGCGCCCAACCTGCCCGCGCCCCTCTGGGTGCCACGGCTCAGGGTGGGTCAAGGCGGGGGAGGCGCAGCCCTGGGGCACCGAGGTAACCCCGGAGAACTTCCCGCGGACCGGGTGCGTGGGGGATTTCCACCGGCGGCCCCCGCAGTGGGGCGATGTGGGGAGGGCACTTAGGGTGATCCAGTGGGGGTTGGGAGGACTCCTACTTCCTCTGCCCCCTCTCACCTCACCAGACGTCGGGAGTCCCCTGCTTCCCTGTCCTTCGGGTTGATGAGTGGGTGTCTCTGAGTGTGCGCAGGGCTGTGGGGGCGCCCCTGGTCTAGGTCATGCCTCCTGCCCTTTTCCTTGGCTCGCCTTGGCTGAGGTGTCCCTGTAGTGGCGAAAGTCACAGTACGGTGGCTAGGCTGCTTTCGTCCGTAATTCTCTGGGTTTGTGTTAACATAAATTGCTGCGAGTTTAGAAGCAAAGGTTTTTATTTATCGGCTTTTATTGAGTTTTCTCCAGGGAGGGAAGTGGATGAATACTCTTTTTCGCCACTCTGCCTCCATTTGCATTCTTTGTGAGGTCTGTCTGCCTTGTGCTTTTTGTCCCGGATTAGTCTTGCTCAAGGATGGAGATTTCCAGGCATGGAGTCTTACAGCTTTTGGCTTCCATTAAGCAAATTCGCTAACCTTTTAAAGGGAAAGTTTTTTTTTTTCATTTCAAAAAGATAGTATATATTGACTGGATGAATTAATCTACTTGAGACATAGTTACATATGGTAGGGTTTTTTTTGAGGGGGGGGAGGAGAGCAGAAGCTACTTTTTTTTTTCCTAAGGAGAAAGGATTACTTTTAAAATTTAAATGGTATGCATAGTTGAGAAAGCCTTTCGTGCTGAGTTTTGGTTATTCGTATTCTAAATTTGTGTACTCTGCCTTGTTTGGAGAGATATTATTCAATGCTCCTGTTACCACTGTCTGGACTGCTTCCTAGTTAGATAAAGTTCCTTTTAGATAACTGGTGTTAGGTTGGAAGAAACCACCCAAGTGTTACCTTTGGTAAAGCGAACTGAGTTTAAGATTAAGACACTGGTTTTTAACAGACCCTTTGGTCTCTGGAGCTAATTCAAATGTAACTCTCCCCACCCCTTTCTCTTCCAGATCAATTAAAAGAAGAATGAACTGTAATCCTTGAAGATAAACTGGGCAACTTTTTTTAATTTAGTATATATATATTTAATCACAAAAGTTCAGGTGGAGTCAGGCTCCTACTTGTGTGGAGATTTAGACAAGTCTTCAATTTGTCAGCACAGAGCAGCAGCAGACCACCATTTTCAGTGAAAGATACTTGCCTCTTCTTTTTTGGTGTTTTTGGCAAAAATTAAATCCATTGCATCATTGTAACTCATGTTTGGGTGTAGTTTCAGGATACAGTCATGGCATAAACTTTCCACATGCTTTGTTTAAAAACCAAAACCAACCAAACTCAACCATTACACCAAACTTTGGACTTCTTGCGTTGGCGTTGAGGAATTAGCTTTATTTTAATACAAATATCTGAAGTACTCAAGAAATCAAGAATTTTCTCAGAAGCGTGCTTATGATTATATTCTTTGTTATTAGAAGCAAATTGAGAAGTTTTGTAGCATTTTCAGTTATATCCTAAGGTACAGCTAAACCAAAACAGAGTTGTACAGTCTATTGAGTAAGAAAATTCATCCTTACAAACTAAACATTTCTAAGTGAGTCAGAAGTATTTGTATACATTACCCTTTTCTCTTCAAATTAGGAACTGAGAACAACATGCCAATTGCAGACTTAATCATTTAAAACGCCAGCGGGGCCATGGAAAACCTCCAGTCTAATTTCTCCTTAGTTCAGGGTTCCAATAAAAAGCAGAACGGGATGGAGGATGATGGTAGTCCTCCTATGAAAAAAATGATGACAGACATTCATGTCAGTGGGAAGACACTGACCAAGGTGAAGACGGAGCATTTGGATGACTACGGAGATGCATCCGTGGAGCCGGATGGCGAGCACGCTAAGCGAAACCGTACTTCTCTACCTGAGAGTTTAAATTTAAACCCCAGTCTGAAACACACATTGGCACAATTCCATCTAAGCAGTCAGAGCTCTTTGGGTGGACCAGCAGCGTTTTCTGCTCGATATTCCCAAGAAAGCATGTCACCAACGGTATTCCTGCCTCTTCCATCTCCTCAGGTTCTTCCTGGTCCTCTTCTCATTCCTTCTGATAGCTCTACAGAGCTCACTCAGACTGTTTTGGAAGGGGAGTCTATTTCTTGTTTTCAAGTTGGAGGAGAAAAGAGACTCTGTTTGCCCCAAGTCTTAAATTCTGTTCTCCGAGAATTTTCACTCCAGCAAATAAACACAGTATGTGATGAGCTATACATCTATTGTTCAAGGTGTACTTCAGACCAGCTTCACATCTTAAAGGTCTTAGGAATACTTCCATTCAATGCCCCATCCTGCGGGCTAATCACATTGACTGATGCACAAAGACTCTGTAATGCTCTACTTCGGCCACGAACTTTTCCTCAAAATGGTAGCATACTTCCTGCCAAAAGCTCTTTGGCCCAGTTAAAGGAAACTGGCAGTGCCTTTGAAGTGGAGCATGAATGCTTGGGCAAATGTCAGGGTCTCTTTGCACCTCAGTTTTATGTTCAGCCTGATGCTCCCTGTATCCAGTGTCTGGAGTGCTGTGGGATGTTTGCTCCTCAGACGTTTGTCATGCATTCACACAGATCCCCTGACAAGAGAACTTGCCATTGGGGCTTTGAGTCAGCCAAGTGGCACTGTTACCTTCATGTGAACCAAAAATACCTAGGGACACCTGAAGAAAAGAAACTGAAGATAATCTTAGAAGAAATGAAGGAGAAGTTTAGCATGCGAAATGGAAAGAGAATCCAGTCAAAGGCAAGTTTCTTTTTTTAAAGTAGTGATTTTGAATAGTAATGGTATCCTCATTCTGTGTATTATGAAGCTAATGCTTCAACTTGTTCATGTAACAACAAAACCCCCTTAGCGTCATGTTTGTCTGGTTTTAGCCATAATGTTTTCTGTGTAGTTTTTCATCTGAGAGAAATAGGATCATTCCCATTTTACAGGTAAGAGAATGAGCCTCCAGTTGAAAATGACTTTTCTAAAATTGCAGGCATTGTGAATTCTTTGGGCCAATCTCTTTCACACATCCTGCTTCTTGACTAAATCTGTTGCCTGGGACTAAGATAGTTCACACTTTAGTGCTGTGTTATCTCCATTTGCAAACTGGTCTGGTGGTAGGCTTAAAATTGCCTTTTGAAGCTATTCCAATGGTTTTTGATGTTTTTGTGCTTGGATTGAGGAGTGATCAATGTTCAGATCAAATTAAGACATTTATCTGACGAATTTGGTATTAGTAACCAAGACTGTTTATTTTTTTTTTATTTTTTATTTTTTTTTTAAAGATTTATTTGCTTTGTTTTTTTTAAACTTTATTTATTTATTTATTTATTTATTTATTTATTTATTATAAGTACACTGTAGCTGTCTTCAGACACCCCACAAGAGGGCATCAGATCTTATTGCAGATGGTTGTGAGCCACCATGTGGTTGCTGGGATTTGAACTCATGACCTCTGGAAGAGCATTCAGTGCTCTTAACCACTGAGCCATCTCACCAGCCCACCAAGACTGTTTATAATACAAAAGAAAGGAATGCTTTTGAAAAACTGTTACAGAGGCAGAATGAAGTTTATTTCAGTTTATTGAAATATTGCTATGACAAGCAATATTGCAGATCTGCAAAGAGATCTCAAAGCATTGCTCCTTCCACGGTGTTATCTGGTAGGTGAAGATAACGTCTTTGTCTTTATTCTAATGAAGATTTTGAATGCCTGGATGAAAGACAAAGGTTTGAAGTATTAAACCTTGATGTGGTTATTTTATATACTTTTCTATTTGATTTAAAATTAATATGTAATATACCTAGCACTGTTTAAAATGTATTGACCGTTACTCTAGAGATGTTTTTCATGTAAATTTTGTGCAATTAATTTTTAGAACAGAAGATGGGCCATGTTTTAAGAAAACTTAAAGTTTCCCATTCCCATTATTAGTTTTTCTTGCCTTTGAACTACCATTTATTCACTCACTCTTTCTTTCCTCCCTCCCTCCCTCCCTCCCTCCCTCCCCTTTTCCTTTCTTTTCTTTTCTTTTCTTTTCTTTCTTTCCTTTTTTGGTTTTTTGAGACAGGGTTTCTCTGTGTAGCCCTGGCTGTCCTGGAACTCACTCTGTAGACCAGGCTGGCCTCAAACTCATAAATCCGCCTGCCTCTGCCTCCCAAGTGCTGGGATTAAAGGCGTGTGCCACCACTGCCCGGCCAAACATTTTCTGCTTAACAGTAGAAACTTTATTAAGTAACTCAGGGTTGTTCACAGCAGTTTTAGGTAGGCTTAAATTATAATTTAATATTGGGTATTCTGCACTTAAGCTTTTGAGGGAACTAAAGTGTCTTCTGAGGCAGTAGTTTTCAGCAAAAGCGCAACATGGAGAGAACTAGACTTTTCCTTAGGACAGCTTGCTGCTTTCCTAAAAGTTATCACTGACATTCCTGGCCGGTGGCTACTAAGATAAGTTCTTCAGGTGCAGTGTGAACCGGTTTTAAGCAGGATTGAATTGATGCCTTATTTTAAAGTGAAAACCTTGCCTATATCTGTCTCTGTGCAGTGCCGGAGTCTTACTCAGAGATGATCTGTATACTCTGTCTGCTTCAGCTAATTGGAGCCACTATCCTTACATGTCTGACAGGGGCTCTATTAGTTGCCAGGGCTTCTTGCTCTGGTCCATTACTCTTGACAACATTCTTTGAATCACCTGTTCTGTGCTTGGGCGAAAACTCATCTGAGAAATATGCCCAGTTTGGTTTGAAAAGAAAAGTTCAGAGAGAGAATTGAAACTGTCCTTCTCTTGGGATACAGTAATACAGATGCATTTTTTATTTGATTTTGGGAAGATATGAGACCCCACTCCCTTCTTTTTCTCTTTCTCAGAGTTTGCTGGAGGTTTTGTGCTGTGTTGTTTCCAATTTTATGTGAATTGAAGGAAGTTAGAGAAATTCAAGAAAATTTCCAGCCTAATGTTTAGAAGAAAATTAGGATTTATTTAACACATACTTCAAAAGTGCTGTTACTGTACATTTTAACATTGAGAGGTAGTTTTAAAGGATCTGTGAGGGCAGTGAGGTAGACTATTTCCTCCTGTCAGGTGTGTGTGGGGTGTAGCTGGCAGCTGGTGGAGTGAGTTGAAGGTAGGCCTTCTGACTTTAAGACTAGAAATCTTGAAGCAGCAGAAGCTGCTTATTTGAAGGATAGTATTATTGCTTAGTTTAACACGATGGCTCTTAAATTCTTTATTGACTGCACAGAACTGAAGTATTTACAAGGGAAAGCAGGCTTGGGTTGGAGAAGATATTTTTCAGGGCATTTAGAGAGTCAGAATTTTAGTTGGTTGCCAGACAAACCAAATTGCTGAGGAAACTCATTTAAAAAAAAATCAAAGCAAACTTTTGTTTAACCCAAAGAATGTGCTGAATATTTTAACCTTCTAAATGAAGGAGATTATATTTAGTGTGACCAGTATAATTTGATATGTATGGTCTGTGTAGTTAAAATACTCGTTTTGGATTCAAATAAAAAGAAATTTGAAAATACAGGCATTTATTGGAAATGTAGCAACTATTTATTTATTTATTTATTTATTTATTTATTTTGGTTTTTCGAGACAGGGTTTCTCTGTGTAGCCCTGGCTGTCCTGGAACTCACTCTGTAGACCAGGCTGGCCTTGAACTTAGAAATCTGCCTGCCTCTGCCTCCCAAGTGCTGGGATTAAAGGCATGTGCCACCACTGCCCGGCTTATTTATTGTTTTTAAAAATAATTTATTCATATTTTGTACACATTGGTGTTTTGCCTGCATGTGAGTCTGTGAGGGTATTGGATCCTTTGGAACTAGAGTTACAGACAGTTGGGAGTTGCCATGTGGGTATTAGGAATTGGACTCAGGTCCTCTTGCAGCGCAGTCAGTGCTCTTACCAGCTGAGCCATCTCTCCAGCCCCTGTGGCAACTTATTATAAAGAACAGAAATTGTATCAGTAATGACCAACAAGCTATTTATTTGCATAGCTAATATATTTAATTTGCATAGTTAGCTATGTTTAGATTCTGGGAATAGGTGAGGTAAGGTTAAATGTTCTTAATGGAGAGCTCAGCATATTCTTGGTAGAAACTACAATGTTTTGGACCCTTTCTTAGGTCATCAGAAATATTCATGAAATATTCATGTAGCTCAGTTAGTTGAGAACTTGCCTAGCCTGCACAAAGTCCTGGGTTTGATTCCCTAGCACTGTGTAAACCATGGGTGGTAGTGTGTACCTGCAGTACTGTATTTGAGAAATTGAAGTAGGAGGGTCATCCTTGGCTACATAGGGAGATTGAGGGCTACATGGGATCTTATCTCAAAAAAGAAAACTGCATATAATTTTAGATATGCTTGGGTTACACAGTACAATGGGTATTTGTAGAGCCTTTAATGACAGTTTTTTTTAAATTAGTGTGCTTATTATTTAGAACAATGGTTGTTATGTTTTAGAATGCTCAATATGCAAAAATATTGTTATCCTAATTCTTTTTCACCTTATCAGTAGGTATTCAGCCAGATAAGAATCAGACCAACTGAATTTCTGCTTATAGAACAAGGCTAAGCAAGTACATCGTTGGCTGATAAGCCTGAAGGGTGATGTTTAAGATTATTTTCAATCGCATTAGAAAAGGTCATTTATACTTAGCTGATAAGAGAATGGTAGGTAATTCTTCACTGTAACACAGGACTGACAATTTCTAATTCACTGAGGGGAGAAGGATGAATGCTGGGATGGAGAGACGGCTCAGCACTGGTTGCTTCGCTGCCAAGGACTCAGCTTTGGTTCCTAGTACCCACATAGCAGCTCACACCCATCTGTAACTCCACTTCTAGGGGAATCTAAAGCCCTCTTCTGGCCTCTGAAGGCAGTAGGCACATAAATATATTCAAATAAACACTCATAAAGATCCTTAAAGAATGGGTGGTGTATGCTCTTAAAATTTATTAGAATTAAGATTTCTAACATTCAGATTTGTCTACTCAGTACAGTACAGTAGTGTAGTTTTACTCTATACAATTAAGGGAATATTGTTTTTTAGGTGATCTATGATGCAGATGTTCCTTAAGATAAACAGCGTAGAAATACTTTCTCCTAGTTGGTGGAGAACTTAGCTTATCTTGTGCTTGTTCCTCGATTGAGATTCAGTTCATGCTCCCCCTTCCCCAAAGAAACTAACCATTTCACTCCCTTTAGTTTTGCATTTTTGTTTCTGCAGTGGTCACTGGAACAATTGTACACATATTTCTCTTCTCTGGCAGGGTGCTACATTTGCTTCTTGTTAAATGATGTAAGCAAATACTGTTTTTAATATATGGTATTTATTTATTTTTTATTTTTTGAGTTCTCAGTTCAAATCCAAGGCTTTGCCCTTATTAGGCATGTGTTCTATTCAAGGATTCTGTGTAGCCCTGGGTGTCTTGGAACTCATTTTGTACACCAGGCTGGCCTCAGAGATCCACCTGCCTCTGTTTCTCAAGTGCTAGGATTAAAGGTGTGCCACACAGCCCAGCAGGTTTTTTGCTTCCTGTTTTTAAATTATGGCCTAACCTTTTATGTTTATAGCTTATATATGACAACTTAGTATAATTCGTCAAATGAGAGGATAGATGAGAAAGCATTTGGAAATGGAAAGTCTTCTGTAGAGATGTCAGATGGTATTGAATGATTACTGTAGTATTAATATGTACATGCAGATTCTTCTGCTACTTACATATGAAAGAGGTTTGTAATAAGAAACA